TTAATAAAATCAGTGGAATTATGCAATGTCAACGACTATTGCATGTTCACGTAACGTATTTACATATGGTGCACACATTATATTTTTAAAAAGCTGAATTCGACAAAATAAATGATAAAGCCTAAACCTTATTTTCATTTGTTAATGATTATATATAATGGCTCTTGCACATTCATGTAACAGATAACATATTTGTATATAACGATTTTTTCTTACCATATAGCCCGTCATTTAACGACGGGTTCTAATACTATATAGTATTTTATTGATTTTTTGTTGTATTAAAATTATATAGTAATTTCTACGTATGTACATTACATTATGCGACATTATGTTTTGTATAACGTAATACGTACGTACATATCAGGGACCCGTAAAATTTTGGAAATAAATTTTTCCAAATTTTTCCAAATTTTTGACTTAATCCCAAAATTTCCAAATTTTTGTATTTTTCCAAATTTTTGCTGATTTTCGGGGTTACACATGATCTGACCAATAAAAATAGGTCTTTATACATGTGATCCGACCAATAAAAAAAATGGTTGATCTTTCGATAGCTTTTCTTTGAACGTCTCTTAGGTTTACTAAACCTACATATACTTTTATTAATAACTCTAACATGAATTCTAATATAACCTAAAAAAATGCACCTAAAATTTCATAATATAATAAACCAAAATTCAATATCAGTCGCGACAAAAATTATCAAGTTTACTTGCTGTATTTGCGCCAAAGTCTTTGACAAAGGTGCATAAGAAAAAAAAAACCAGTACATTATAATGTTTTTTTAAACAAACAAAAAAAAAAAAAATAGAAATGAGCCCCACCAAGAAAGTAACTGCCTATAGTCGTGCACAGGAGTTTTCGGAGCACTTCACTTCTGATTCTGGGAAACTTATGTGCCGTTTTTGCAATCATAGTGTCAATTATGACAATAAATCCTTTATTACCTCACATATAAATAGTAAAACCTACCAAAAAAAGCATCACACCTACCTGAAATCTTTGAATCCTACTCGACAGCAATGTCTTCCATCATCATTGACAGTAGCTGACAAAAAAAAAATTTCATTTGTGACCTTGTTAAAGCATGGGTCGAAGTAGACATACCGCTGGAAAAACTTGACAAATTTCAAGAGTTTCTAAGTGCACATTGTAATGAAGGTGGTGCTATACCCACGGCTGATGCTTTACGTCGTTCATATTTACCAAAGGTTTTCAAAGAACATTTAGAAAGCCTAAGACATATATTTAATGAAAAACAAGTAGCAATCATCATTGATGAAACAACAGATGCCAAAGGGCGTAGTGTAGTTAATACACTATTCTCTTATCGTGGGGTGACAAAACTAGTGTCGGTTGACTTTTTACAATCCGTAAATTATTCAACAATAGGTGGGCTTGTTTTACGGCTCTTAACGGAATGGAACATTCCTTTTACTTACCCAAAGGCATTTGTCTCGGATTCGGCCTCTTATGTAAAAAAGTGTTTTAAAGATGCTTTATGCCCTGTAATGCCTCAGTTGAAGCACAATACATGTTCTGCCCATATTATGAATCTAATCAGGTAAATTCTTTTACAATAAGATTAGTATTTATTCTCGAAATAGTAGGCATGGGTGCTATTTCAAATTTTAGCCTGAATTCAGGCCAAAATTCGAAATAATACCCATGCCCACTATTTCAAGAATTTACAGTAAGTTTTATAATTTTAATAATATAATTTTATATAATTCTTTTAGCGAATCATGGATATCAGTCTACCATTTTGATGGAGTTAAACTTTTAATCTTGCATATTAAAAAAACATTCGTGTATTCAAAGGCTCGTCGGTCTCAATATATAAACTATCTAGTTCAGCATGGGTTAAATCAACAATCAAACCCTCCTTTGAAATTTGTGCCGTTACCTGTCGTGACGCGTTGGAATACTTGGTTCAAAATTGCATTTTATGTTTGCGATTACTTTGAATTTATTCAAGGGTTTTATAAGGAGGAGCAAAAAGCTGAATCATCCGAAACTATTGAAAAAATTGTGAATATTTTTAATGACTTCGATGAGAGTAGACGAATACGAATTTATTTAATGTTTATTCGCCACTATGCTGAAAGATTTATTCAAGATCTCAATTTTTTTCAGCAAGAAAATGCTCCCGCAATTCTATTCGTTGAAAATCAGATTCAACAACTTGAGGCCTTTATTAGTCATGGCGAACATAATGATGATTTTGGGAATGAGGTAAATTTGTGTATTACAAGCCTCGGATCGGAACCATATTTTTTTAATAGCGTGTTTCAAGCAGCTTTTGCTGCAGCACACAAAAAGTTTAACGATCATTTTTTTCGCCATCCGTTTCGCCCTCTATTTGTTGCAGTACAAATTTTTGATCCTAATTTTGTTAAATTGACAATTAATAATCGTAATATTCAGAAATATTCAGCACAAATTCCCGAATTAATTAATCCTTCGGATGCTTTATTATATGAATGGGGTCATTATTGTAATATAGATTTGACATTAGTTGAATTTAGTAATTTAGGTGAATTTTGGGAAAAAATGTCTTCTTCTTTTCCGATTTTAAGCAATATTGCATTGCTTTATATTTGGTTACCTATTTCTTCGTGTGCAGTTGAAAGAAGCTTTTCTGTTTACAATAATCTTTTAGAAGACGATAGACAGAATTTAAGCGAAAATTTATTAAAAATATTAAATATGTTGTATTTCAATCAACGCAAATAATAAATTTTAATAAAAAAAATTTTTTTAGTGATTTTAAACATTAAAAAATTTTTATCCAAATTTTTCCAAATATTTGCTGATATCCAAATAAAGATCCGCAATTTGATACCCAAATTTTTACGGGTCCCTGGTACATATAATGCAGAATGCCCATCTCTAAAATCAGAAACTTGAAAAATTAGTAAACACAAATAGGAATCTATTTTAACCAATCATATAAATGTTTTAGATAGGTTAGATTTTTGCCTTAAAGAATATAGTAACAAGTTAATCAATTTTAGTAAAAAATTAACTTTGAACAAGAGATTAAAAAATAAAACTTTTAACAAATAATTATAAAAATGCTAAAAAATATATACTATATTTAAAATTTTAGAAAAAAATTGTATATATTTTGTTGAATAAATTAAATTTTAGTATTTTCTTATATAAATTATCAAATTTAATATTTGACCAATAAGTAACTGCAACTATTAGGACATATTCTGTAACTGATAATCAATTTAATATATAGAGTAGCCAGATTTAACATATAGAGCGCTAAATTTAGTGTAAAGTGGCCAAATTTGCTTGTTTAATACGTAGTATAGTTTAAGCAGCCAAATTGCTTAATTATAAAATTGCCTCGACTTTAATTCTCTATTTTATTAAAAATAATTTTAAACAAAATTTTAAAACGATCAAGATGTTTAGCTGGTATGGTTTTAATGTTCTATGAAGAGATTTTTTGTTTATTGTTTTTTATAAACAAGGATTAGCATTTTGAAGTTGGTCAAATTTATTTGTCGAGACTAAGTTGTCTGCACTGTACAATTAAGAAAGCATCGCACAAAAATTTTTAAAATAAACTTAGAAAATTAGTAATGCGTATTGATAGCGCCATTCACATGTTCATAGTCATTAAGGTCATGTTTCTGAATCATTTCACTAGTTTTAGAGTTCAGGAGTATGGCCACATAATGTTCTTCAAGTGCAACTTGCAGGCTATATTAGTCATGAATCGAATATCAAGATAAGACAAATAATTTTTTTATTAAGATAAAAAAATGCAAACGTACAGTTTATCATCCGAATTAGTGGAGAATGGGCCATTTCGACAGTTTCCATCAGACTCAAAGCTGTGTCGCCATCGTGATCAGGAAAATTTATGTCGACATCTTGAGACAGGAGGAATTCAACGAGTTCGATGTGATTATAAAAAGTAGCAGCAGCTAATGACATGTAATCATTTGATCTTTAGAATTTGGTGATATTCCGGTAGATAAGAAAACCTTTGCAAACTATAAAGAGGAATTTTTGAGAAATAAATACTTAAAAATTGATGGATTAATAAAATACCTTGATGCGCTATTGCTTTTATAATAAATATAAATTTCAGTGTTTAAGAGATTTTTTTTAAAAAAGAGAACTTTTTGTTAAGAGAAGTATTTTACTAGCAGCAATCCATATGTTATTACACCATTCATGGTTGTTTATTATACTTGTATTACTATGAGATTACAAATTTAATGTCTTGACTTTTATAACATACTTTTAAATAAATCCAACTAGTCAGTTTTTTTTAAATTTCATATGTAAAAATTTTCTAAAATTTTTATTTAAAAACCCAAGTTATAAAAACCAATTAATATATAGATATTTTATTAGAAATTTATAATAAAATTTACAAATCTGTTTACAAAAGTTATTTTTTTCGCTACTTCTGTTACAAATATCGGCTCACCCGGTTATTTCAAGTGTGATTTGCTAAAAAAACATAAATGCTAAATAAATGAAAATAAAAATATGATAAAATCAAAAAGTCGGAAAAGTTAACGAGTTGTGAACACCCAATATTATTAAATTTATCCGATAGCTTGGATAATTAAACATATGTCTAATTAGCAAATTTGACAGATGTTCAATTAATTTTTTTGGATATTGTTCAATGCCTAAAGATCCAAAACTTGTCTAAACATTTTGGATAGTCAAAATGTCCAAAATCAAATATTATCCAATACAAATATTGTTTTATTCGTAAAAAAAAATATATATATTTCTATCGATTCATTTTCATTTAATTGTATTTGTATGTAAATATCATTTGTTGGAAGTCATATTTATGATGCGCACGTCAGCTTTGTTAACATGAAATGCTTCTACAATTTACAATATATGTATAATACAAGCTTAAAACAAATAAAATATAAATCAAAGGAACCGCTTAAAATTTTTCTAATCATTTAACCGTTTGATTAAGTAAGAATTTTAAAAAAAATACATTATTTGTGATTATAAGGTTCCAACATTGCCAATGCTTTATGCATATTTTCAACGGCAGTTTTTACATCGTTATAATTTAACGCACTAATGGCCCATTTGCAATGTTTCTGAGCTGAAGCTACAATATTAGGATCGATTTCAACTGAATGATGCGAGAATTGTGTATAAGGGCGAACATGCTGCTGATTAATGGGCAACGAACTCGGATGTTGATTAGTAGGCAATGAACTTGGATGTTGATTAGCGGGCAATGAACTTGGAGTCGTTGGTTGGTAAATTGGTGAGCTATAAGGCTGGACGTAATTTTGGGAAAGTGGAGGGTTACTAGGAAATGAGGAAGGTGGCTGATGACGTAAGGTGTCATTAGTAAACCCAGGTATTGATGGGGGAAGCGGAGGAGGGTTACTAGGGAATGAAGAAGGAATCTGATGACGTAAAGGGTCATTAGTAAGCCCAGGTATCAATGATGGAAGTGGAGGTGGAGGTGGAGGATTATTAGGGAGTGATGAAGGAGGATTATTAGGGAATGATGAAGGGGGATTATTAGGGAATGATGAAGGGGGATTATTAGAGAATGATGAAGGAGGCTGATGAGGTAAGGAGTCATTAGTAAATCCAGGTATTAATTGTAGACCATTTTCTTCCATATGAGATACCGATGGTGAGTCAACCGCCAAAGGTGCCGAAGGAAATTGGTCAATACTAGGGACGTTATCAGGTGGATTAACAGCGTAGTCTTCTTCTTCTTTCAGTGGTGATTGTAAAGCCGGTTCACCTCCAGGAGGACCAGGCACCGGTGTTTGACCTTCTTTCAACGCTTTTACTATATCAGTCGCTTTCCATTTTGCATATCTGATTTTTTCTTCGATCTAAAAAAAATTTGTTAAAATCATTGCTATTTAAATAATCGTATAATATGTATTACTTACTTCTGGGTTAAGTGGTCCAAATACTTTGAGAAGCTCTAAAAAGACAGCGGCTGCCAAAAAGTTCTTGGCTGTTTTTCTATTAGGAAGGATGGTAATTAATTTTTTTGTATTTAAAGAAAACCAAAAACATATAATTTAATCTAATAAAATGACTAGCTTTGTGGCTTTTCCTGCTCTGTCTTCGTTATCTGCATTCATGAAAACCTTTATGCCAAAATTCTCCACAGACGCTTCACCAACAACATCATCTGTGACGGCCTCATTGTCATGAAGTGCTTTTTTTTCCTGGTAGTCCGATAAAGCAATTAAAGTAGGTATTAAGACTATTAAGACTATTAAGATAGCATAAAACAAATACATGGAAAATTACCTCTTCAAGGACATCCAATAATTTGGCAAGAAACGCTTTACTTTCTTTACTCTTTGTTCCTTTTTCGAGAGCGAGTTTTACTGAATAAAAATTACCTATTTAAGTGCAAATATAAAGAAAAATATACAACAACGCGTAAATAATTGGATCTGTTAAGCAACTCCGGTGCAAGCCGATCTTCGATCTTACAATAATAAGCTATAACCGGTTCTCTGTTTCGTAATTCTTGGGCTCTTTGAAGGAAACCATTGATAAATTTAAGTTCTTCTGGGAGTGTAGGAAGTGTCATTGAAACAAATTCTACAAAAAGAATAAGTAGGCGTGTCGACGAAAGTATTTATAACTGATCTACGGTGATTCATTAAATCCAATCAGATCACGTTGAATATAATCTAAAAAAATTATAAATAGCCTGCCCTAACTGTAGACAATTCGCAACAGATGGATGATATCCCGGTTGGAATTGTCAAAATGCCTCTATCAACTACTCATTTTAACACATCCGAACGAATAGACCAAAATACACCTATGAAATTCTCTAATAAAAATGGCATAAAAACAACCGATATTGCTAAAGTCAATCGAAAAAAGTATGAACGCAAGGTTAAAAAAGCAAAGCTAAGTGCTCGTTCAGGTTGGTAAACTCTTTTCTTATTATGAATTCTTTTAGCCCGGTGTATCAATTTTGGCATTTATCATAGATTCTTTAAAGCCTAAATTTACCTACCACATCTATCCTCCTATATGACATCGTTCTTTTTCTGTAAAACCTTCCCAAAATCATTTAATCTTTTTCTAATAACGTCCCGTTTTAGTAAAACGCTCAAGCCCATTTTGGGTATTATATTGTTTTGTCATTGTCCTTATTGAGGATTGGTGCCGCAGCTGCTGAAGTTGATTAAATGTTTCGTATTATAAGTTTTATAAAATTGTCAGATATGTTATTTTAAAAAGGTTATCTAATTGTTTATTACACAAAATTAGAACTTGACATTTTTGAATGGTCCAAGCATGGTTTTGCCAACAACAATTATTGGATTTCGCCATCTGCCGACAAACTTCCCCGAATCGATGTATCACAAGTTTCTCGAGAAGAATTCATAAGGAAATATGAGGATCCTGGTTTACCTGTCGTTATTACCGGTTGTACGAAAGGCTGGGCCGCAGAAACAAAATGGAACAAAGAGGTTAGTCAAGAAATATATGTTTCTGAAATTTGTAATTAATGCGAAGTGTCATATTACGTCTGTGAATATAAAGTCTAACTTTTAATAGGAACTTTTGCGAAATTACGCCCGTCACAAATTCAAAATCGGTGAAGATGACAAAGGAAATCCTGTACGCATGACTTTTAAATATTATATGTACTATTTAGAAACAGAAGGTTTAAAAGATGATAGTCCATTGTATATTTTTGATTCGTCTTTTGGAAGGCGTGGGAAGCCTAAAAAGGCCAATTCTGAAGGAAAAAATTTAAATCCGAAATCTAAGGAATGCCTGTTGAAAGATTACAAGGTTCCTACTTATTTCGACGATGATCTCTTTCGTTTTACAGGTGAAAACCGCAGACCTCCATACCGCTGGTTTGTAATTGGTGGAGAAAGAAGTGGAACTGGGTAAAATACTCTTAAGTCATTTATACCTCTTTAATAGTCGTAAGATTTACTTTAATTAATATATTTCCCTATAGAATTCATGTTGACCCACTAGGAACTTCTGCGTGGAACACTTTGTTGGTTGGGCACAAACGCTGGTGCCTTTTTCCACCATCCACGCCTCGCAGATTAATTGATCCAAAGCAGAAGGATCATGAAGCTGTAACTTGGTTTAGTTGCGTCCTTCCTAAGCTGCTTGAAGTCCATGAGGGGAAAAACAAAAGCCTTGCTGAGGAATACGGAATGGTTGAAGTGTTACAGGGACCCGGTGAAACAATGTTCGTACCGGGTGGATGGCATCACGTGGTAATGAATTTAGGTAATGTGTTAATTTTTACTCATGTTTTAGGTTATGAAACATTCATAAACCAGAAATTTTCATTATAGATTTTGCAATCGCCGTCACTCAGAATTTCTGTTCTCCAACTTCCATTGAACAAATTTGGTTACGCACTCGAAATGCACGCCCTAAACTTGCGCAAAAGCTTTTGTCCAAGATCATACGATTGTCAACCATTGGAGGAACAAGACACAGTAAAAGCTTTTATAGAAATTTGGTAAATAGGATTAAAGCTTTGGAAACAGTTCCTGCATTACCCGAAAGTAGTTCTAGTAGTAGCAGTAGTTCCAGTAGTTCCAGCGAGAAAAGTTCAACCGATGACGATGGTGACACTGAAGTAAGTGAAACAGAGAGCGAAGAAGATGGGGTAGATGGTGAATGCCGTTGTTATAGTTGTAAAATGAAGGCTAAGCGAAAAGCGAAAAGACGAGAAAGGGAAAAACAAAAATTGGAAATGCAAAAAGAATGGGAAAAAAATAAATTAGAACGAAATGAATTGGAAAAACGAAGATACGAGAACAATACTGATAAAACGCTTAAGAGGGAAGAAAAGGCGATAATTGAGGACGGTAGGGACAAGAAAAGGAGGAGGGAAATGTAAAGCGAGAACATGATATACAAGATAGATGGAAAGACTATAATCAATTGACAATTCAAATTCATTTGCTTTGCTAACTACGTTTACTATACAGCCTTTACCAAATGTACTTTTGATTATAAAACAAAATCTGATAGATTATATGTTATAAACGCAAGAAAATATCTTTAATAAAGCACCTCATGATTATAGATTATATATTTCCCTATAATATTTCCCTGATACACATCTTCTGGGGAAGTTGTAAGAATCTTGCTGCACAGAAGGTGCGCAGCATATTCATGATTTTAAATCTTTGATCGAAGATTTCTCGATTAAATTCAATGAAATTTTTTTTTATTTTAATTCTATACATTGTAAAAATTAAGTAAAAAAATTTTTCCCAGAGATGGTGAAAATTTAGAAAAAAAGGCTATACATTGTAAAATTAAGTAAAAAAAATTTTCCCGGTAGTTATTGAGAGATGGTTGAAATTTAGAAAAAAAAGGCTGCTATTAGACCAAATTCAATAAAAAATGTTTTAATTTAATTCTAAGGTCTGCAAAATTTTTTTATCGAATTTGATCAAGCAATCGAAAAATATTTATTAAATGCTTATAGCTAGGGATGTTAAAAGTCCGGTCCGGTCCGACTCCATGAGTCGAGTTTTAATCTCGAGGTAGGACTAGGGTTGGCAAAGTCCTTAGGTCAGGGACTTTAAGACCCGGTCTTTGGACCCAATTTTTAAAAACCAGGTCCTGATTTTAGAACCTAAGTCCGTAGGTCCTTAAAAAAGTCCTAATATAAAAACAATATAATACGCAATATATATGTACATGCGTTGATTCTCACTTTCCCGAAAAACTATTTACCCGACATCACATATGGTTAGGGTTAGCATTTTGTTAGTTGTAGATATATATTTTTAGCAAATTGTCACCTGCGTGATATCGGGTAGGTGACATGTCGGGGAAATAGCTTTCGGGAAATCGTACCGTAATCCAGTACATGTGTACATATGTACGTATGTTCTGGCTCATTTCACGAATTCGATCAATTCCGGATTGAACTAGATCATTCTTGAATCCTAAAATGAACTAGATCGTTTCTCAATCAGTGAAAATTTTAAAAACTCAAAAAATTAACTGATATTCATTAATTATCTGATATGTTGTATGTTTTATTACTTTATATGCAATATATGGCAGACCTAAGTCCTTGGACTAAGTCTTGGGTTCTGGGACTAGGTCTTGGACTGGACTTAGGTTATCTCAAGTCCTAGAACTGGTTTATAAAGACTTAGTCCACAAGTCCAAGTAGTAAGACTTATGGGTTATAAGACCAGGACTGGACCAAGACTGGACTTTACCATCCCTAGGTCATAGGACGACATTCATTTAATTGGTCAATTTTGTAGATCTACCCGTGATTTTCCGTAATAATTAACCAATCAATATACATAATTTTTAAAGTATACGTATATTTAATTTAATTGATACAGTCAAAGCTCGACATAGCGAAGTCTACATTTTGATATATTGCCTTCGCTATAAGAAAACATTCGGTTATCCAAAACCAATTTTATATATGCAAACACATTTATGATGCAAAAATTTTTCGCTATTTTAAAATATTCGCTATGTAAAAATTCGT